CGGAGGGAGCCCGGGGCGCTGGGGCGGCTCCGGCCGGCACAGGTCGGCGGGACGCAGCCCCTCAGGCAGGGCAGTGACACGGCGTGCAGGGGAGGAAGGGAAGCATGAAGAGCGCGTGGGGGAACTGCTGTGCCCGGCTGTCACTTCCATGGACGCCTGCTCAACACAACAATCCTCCGCGGGGATCTCCCGCAGCAGGTTTAGAGAAGGCACCGGCCATTCTCGCCCTTAAATATTTAGCAGTTTAACCCAGCTGCATCCTCCGGTGGGAGTGCCGGTGGTGTCTGTGGTCATGCTCCAGTGTTGGAATACCGGGTGGCGGAGCTTGGAGTAGTGGGCAAAGGCCCAGCAGGGCTGCGCAGGCAAAGGGAGCTGCCCGTGTGTGAGTACACGGGCCGGGCTTCACACAGGAGAGAGGTGCACAGCTTAGGCTGGTGGTTACCTACGGAAAAGTGCTTGTCACCATGGTGACCAAGCAATGCCGCATCTTCCTGGGAGTGGAAAGCAGCAGCCCCTGAGCTTTGCTGTGTGAGACCGGTGGGTTAAATGCAGCTGGCTTCACCTTTTGAAGCCAGGGATCACATTTGGGTTCGGTTTGTGTATATGCCTGTGATACAAATTGTTTGGAATCAGCCTGACTGGTCACCAAGACAGTGACTATATATATATAAGAAGGATGCCAGGAACGTCCTGCTGCAAGGCTGCGTCTTCCTAAAAGAACCCTACAAAACTCTTTGCAGCAGCTGGGAGTGCACCAGGGCATGAGGGTGGAGGTGGCAAAGCTATTGTCTGTCTGGTACTTTGAATAGTAAAGCTTTATCTGAAGATTAAGATGTGTTGGTGTCACTGGGGCTGGGACTCACCAAGTTTTAGCTAAAGGACTACAAAATGTTCAAATTTATGGTTTTGGTAGTTATGAATGAATCAGTGTATACTTACATATTGTTCTAATGTAAATCTGTTGAATGTTAAGCCAAAAGTATCTGATGAAACTTTTTTGGTTGGATGTCAGGTTTTTTTTAATTTGTTTGGTGATGCATTCAAGTTACACTCCTAGCTGTCCATCTTCAGGCATACCAAGAGCTTTCCTGGTATTTTGGAACTTGGGCATTGTTTTTTTGTTTGTTTGGTGGTTTTGTTTGTTTTTTGTTGTTAGGATTTCTTGGTTTTGTTTGTTTTAGTGTTGGGGTTTTTTGTTTGTTTGAGGTTTTTTGTAGAGTTTTTAATTGTTTGGGGTTTTTGGGTGAGGGTTTTTTATTTCTTTGTTTGGTTTTTTTTTTTTTTTTTAGTTTTGCTACCAGCATCCCATAATTTGATAAGAAGTTATTACTGCTCCATGCAAACTTTGATCCTTTTCAGGAAGTCCTAAATATTCATTCCAAAAGAAAAGTCTCTAAAAGCCCTCATCATTGGTGGCTTTCAGAAAGGTTTACAGCAAACTCCCCTGACCCTCTTGCATGTCTCTCTAAGAAGAGGGTAGCTCCTAAACATAATCCAAGAGACTTGTCTGGTTATTTACTGGTTCTCATATGTGGGACTTAAAGGCTTTTAACCAGAAGGAGGGAAACAAAAGAAAAGAAGCAAAAAGATCCAAGAAAGGAAGGAGAGAAGGAGGGAAGGAAGGAGGGCAGGTGGACTTATCCTTATCTGAGTCTCCTTAGGATCATGGAGAATGAAGTTTGGCTGATGGAAGTAGCAGCATTTGGGGAGAATTCTGTTGCAGGTGAGAAAGACTTCTGAGTCCAAGAACTGCTTGCACTTCAGAAGAAAATGCCCATTAGGGAGTTGAAAAACACCACTCCTGTATGAACTCCTCACAGTGTGTCCAGCTGCGTGAGGCAGTGCTCACACAACAAGTGAGCACTTGAGCATGCCCCAGATGAGCTGGAGTATCTGTGCATATCCAGGCAGAGGCATGATCCCCAGAGGGAAATTAGCCATATTAGCATAGGGTGACATTGAGCATAGGGTGACATTGAGGTTAATCTCCCCCATTTCTGAGCAGAATTTGCTGGGTCTCCAAGCACATGTGGTTATATTGTTTCCAGCTCTGTAGTTATTTGGGACACAACTGCCCATGACCACCTCCAGAAAAGTAGGCAGTAGCTGCATGAGGTACTGAAGCTGTCAGCTGTCAGCTGCCAAAGCTGGGTTGGCAACACCCCTTAGAGCAGGGCTGAGTTGGGTACAACAACATCTGTGGCTGAGAATGGTCTCTCAGAAACATCCTTGTTGTTTCTATTTCCTTACTTCTGGATTCTTGAGAGATACAATTCCAGTTCCTTTCTGCCTCCTTTCCTTTCCCAATCCTTTTTCTTTCTTTCTTTCTCTCTATTCTTGCACAGGAATAGTGGAGCAGAAATCTCCACATCAAAACTGAATTTTGCCTACACTGCTCAGAATCCACTGGCTGCCTCTGGCACTGCCTTGGGGGAATCTCTGCTTGATCCTTTGAGACCACCCAGCTCAGGTATGTTCGCTGTAGCTAAACCTGGCAGAAAGCCCTACTCCCTGTCACCCTTGCTCCCTTCCCCTTCCCAGTACACTGAGGGAATGGCAGCTGCAGCAGAATTACCTGGCTGCTTTTCAGAGGAATGTATCCCAGAGCAAAGTGAGGCAGTGGCCTCAGCCACTCAGTATAATTAAACTCAAGCATCATTTTTGTGTAGCCTGTGCCGTGGCAACCGCAGCAGTTATTCCCATTCAGCTGGAAGGTTTAGAAGGCAGAGCCATGGTATTTCACAAAAGATCCTCCTTGCAGGCAGGGCCTTAAACCATTTCATTGAATGAAATATGCTCAAGAAGTGAAGTGTTCCAGAAGGGGGGAAAATGCACAGGGTAGGATCACACTATTTCTGGCTGTAGTTCAATAACAGTTCTTGAGGCAGCACCTGATATACTGTTAGGGTGAAAAAGGCTTTTTATACCTAGTGCTTTGGCATCCTGATAGCATCTCTGTTTTTTCTCTCATTCTCTCTTAGGTTCTCTGGAGAGGCAATATATTGTCTTCCCTCTGTTTAAGGTGAGTAGGGGCTAATTGCATAGACAGGTCACTCTGTTTCTGCTGAAGGTGAAAAGCAAAGGGCTTGCTAATTCATGCACACAGACAGGAGGATATAGCAGTGTACTGTCAGCCATTCCAGGTGCCATCACTAAGGCAGGGTGAAGCAGCTTGGCACAGTGCATGCAGCACTTGCCAGAGCAAACCTCTGGGGCAGGGTAGCAGAAAGAGTAATGCTGATAAAGAAAAGCCAGTCAGAAAGGAAAGGAAAATCGGAATAAAAGACAGGGTCAGATTGCTTACTTGTGGTATATGACCCTAAATTCTTCTAGCACCATTATGGGGAAAGAAATTGTATGGCCACAATACTTTTGTATCCCAGCTATTCTGGACTCACGATACACACACTCAGTATACAAACCAGGTAGTGCAATTGCCAAGGACAGAGCAGCAACAGCAATCTGGGATGTGCCAAAGGAACTATGAGATCCTTTACTACTCAGGATGGGCTCTATCTATTTTACTTTGGAGGTCCTGAGACAGACAGACAGAGCCTGGGTCATGATTTGCTGAAGGGAGCAGCAGAACTGGAGAGCTTAGAGTTGGAGCTCCTGCAGTGCAGGCTTGGACTTCTTCAGGGCTTACGGTTTGAGTACTGCTGCCAGTGAAAGCAAAGGAAATTTGATGATCACCCTCAATTAGTGCAGAAGACTAATACCATGTGAGTCTGACACAGTGCTTTCCAACAAGAGACCTCATATCTGTGTCATTACTGATAGTTTTTTGTCTTAGGAAACAGATATGTGGAGAAGGCAAGTGAAGTTGTCCAAAATTGCCTGGTAAACTGGTGGCAAAACAAATAGGAAACCTGCTGCCTCACACTGCCAAACTGAGCTCACTTGTCACACACAAGGGAACAAAACATAAGGCTGCTGTCTTCCTCTCAGTCCTTCTGAGCTAAAGGAGAAAGCTCTGTTTGAGGCTATGGATACTGAGGTGTCCTATGCCAGGATGGCAGATGCCTGCACTGTGTGGGTCCCATGCCCTGTGAGGATCATTGTCCAGACAGCATGTCTCACTTTGCAACTGGTCTGCAGTATTCCTTCCTCACATGGAATGGCAAATGGTGGGGAGGTAACTAGATTGATCTCCCTTGTAGGCCTTTCCCTGGGACTTGGTACACAGGTTCCAGATGGTACAAAGCCCCTGCTGCTTGGATCTGCACAAAAACCTGTGTCTTCTTCAACCTATTTCACAACAGATTTGGCTCACTCTTGGTCGGTTGCTATTTGTACAAATTAAGCTGAGCTGCCAGGAACGTTTGCAAACAGTGAAAAGCAAAGTGGGATGTACAAAGCAAGTCAAAATAGGTCTCAAATCTGGCAAAATGCCTGCAGGTGCTTATAACATTTGACTTACTCTAGCCCATGTATTACCCTCCCACACACTCATTCATCCAGCTTTCTCCTGCCCCCACACCCACACACACTCACCCTTCACAGATTCATTCACCTTCTTTTCTCCCCCCCATTTTCTCTTCCAAACACAGTCATTCCCACACACAAATATACCCTAGACACACTCTTTTGTTCCCCACGTACAAGCACACACACATTTTTGAGTGCTGAGTGCAGTGACTGTAGGTGGTGTGTAGCAGACGGTGCTGTAATCTTATACCTATGCTGTGAAAAAGCCTTTGGGATTAGTGAGCTGAGAGCTCTGATTCTTCTCACTTTCACGTAAAATACAACTAATCCAGTTTATGGGGCTGTTTCTGTCTTTCCCTGAACTCTGCCATTGTTTTCCAGGGGTTCTCTCTTTCTGCTCGTCTTCCTTCTTTGCTCCACTTTGCCTCTTTCTCCCTATGCTTTCCCTTTTCTACATTTCTGCCCTAGACCACAGTGTTTCAGAGAGCTTGGCCATCCCTGAATCTCTCCATGACCTAACACTGGCCCTGATTACCTCACTGAGAGGATGAGCAGGGATGAGCAATGAGCCTGACATGCAGTGTGGGGCACAGGGCAAGAAATCCTGCAAGCTATGGTGAGATCAGAGGCAGAGACGGTAAATGTTGGGGTGGATCTTGCTGCCATCCGAGCAGCGCTGAGTCCGCCTGGCATCGAGCCTGCCTCTAATGGAATGTGACCCACCGCTGGGAATGAGCTCATCTGTAATCCACTTAATTGAGTTTTATGAGCAGGATTCTCACATCAGGGAGCCAGCCTGCCTTCTTCCTAGCACTCACCCTCCTTTGCTTGCTGCCTGGGGAGAAGGGGAGCGGGGGGTTTGTGCATTACTCCACTGAGCTGGTGATAGTCTGGCTTCTGCCTGCCCTGGAGAATGTGCAGGGAGCTGGACAGACATGCTCTTCAAGACACCCACTGCCATGGTGTAGTGTTGTTTGCTTCTGCTGCAGAATGCTCGAATTTCCATGTGACTATTGGTAATGCTGTCAGGACTGCAGAGCCTTAAGTTTTCCCAGCATTTTGGTCTCTGTGCAAGTGCTGGGTACTCAGAGGAGATGCTCTTATGTATGCATGAACCATCTTACCAGTGAGTCCAAGTGTGATGGACAGAGTCACTCTGAACTCACTCCTACTTTCAGTGTGCAGTGATCTAAATGGCCGAGTTGTCAGGATCCCGTAAGAGCCTTTGTTTACACTGTAATGTCTTGCCATCTTTAGCATTTGCATCATCATTTGTTTGTACTATGTGAATTGGTCACATAAGAATCAGCTAACAGAGAAATCTGGCTGCTGTCTGCCAAGGGATTTGCAGGCTTGACTCTGTCTTGTGAAAGATGCAGCCTTTTCTCTTGGTGAAGAACAAAGGGAGAAAGAGAAAGTGAGGGAGGTAGGCTTCTACCCAAGGGACTGTTACTTTCTGGGGAAAAGGCTAGTAGAGACCCTCTGGCATGCGAAATTTGGGATATATTCCCTTCAGTGCTGGCATAAATGTCTATATTTGAAATAAGTACTGTCTGTCACTTCTGGTCTACTTTGTAGAGGAAAACTTTTCATGGTTTTAGATCAAGTGTTGCATACACATTGCAGAGCAGTAGCTCAGGAGTTCCACAAATCCATAACTTTAAGGAAAGTTCATGGAATAGGGAAAGGGAAGTGTACTGACATGTTAACACAAAGCCTGTAAGAGACCTGTGCTGGGAACAGCAGGGTCACCACTCTGTATTGAATGATTCCTCAGGGGTTTGTTAAAATCCCCAGGCACTGGATTCATGTAAATACATTATAACAAAAGATCTCATTTTTGTAAATGTGTGCTTTTTGTCTTCACAGTTGCAGATAATACTGAAAAATTGGACAAGAGGAAATCTGAGGATTCAAAACCCAGAGAAGAAATAAAATGAATCTATATGGATTCTTACATGTATGGGGTGTTTTGGGTTGGTTGGTTTTACTAGGGTTGGTTTTGGTTTTGTTTTTTTTTTAATGACATGTATTTTAAACCATTTTGAACACAGAGGTGCAATGACTTTCTATTGACATCCCAATGCTGAGCTACTATAATGACTGTTCAGGATGGTTCATTGTAACTGTACTGCAGATGAAGTGCCTGTTCTCTTCTGCTTTCTAAATTCAGGACTACCTCAATTATAAAATCATAGAATCATAGAATAGTTTATGTTGGAAGAGACCTTTAAAGGTCATCTAGTGCAATGAGAAGGGACGTCTTCAACTGGATCAATCTATTCAGAACCCAGTTCACCCTGAACCTGAGTTCACCCTGAACTCACCTGAACCTTGAACATTTCCAGGGATGATGTATCTATCACCTTTCTGGGCAACCTGTTCCTCTATTTTACCACTCTCATGGTTAAAAATCTCTTCCTTGTATCTAGTCTAGCATCTTGTAGTTTATACCCAATACCCCTTGTCGTGTCACAACAGGCCCTGCTAAAAATTCTGTCCCATTTTCTTTCTTTTCTTTCTTCTTTCTATAAGTACCTCTTCAGGTACTGAAAAGTCTCATTAAAGTCTTCCTTCAGCCATCTCTTCTCCAGACTGAACAGCTCCAACTCTCTGAGTATTTCCTCACAGGAGAAGTGTTTCAGCCCTTGGATTGGTTTCTTGACCATCCTCTGGATCTGCTCCATCAGTCCATGTTTTTCCTATGCCATGGACCCCATAGCTGGGTGCAGTGCTCCAGGTGGAGTCTCATGAAAGCAGATCAGGGCAGTAGAATCACCTCCCTTGATTTGCTGGTCATGCTGCTTTTGAAGCAGCCCAGGATGTTCTTGGCTCTCTGGGTTGAAAGCACACAGTGCTGGCTGAGGTCCAGCCTCTGATTCACTACTACCTCCTTCTCAACAGGGTTGCTCTCAATCCCTTTATTGCCCAACCTGTATTGATACTGGGTTGTCCTGCCCTGGGTGCTGGATGATGTACGTGTCTTTGTTGAACCTCCAGAGGTTCATATGGACCCACTTCTCAAGCTAATCCAGGTCCTCTGGATGGGCATCCCATCCTTCAGGCATGGCAACCACACCACTGAGCTTGCAGTCAACTGCAAACTTGCTGAGAGTGTGCTTGATTCCCTGGTTGCATTGATGAGGACATTATACAGTGCCAGTCCCAGTACAGACCCCTGAGGGACACCACTTGTCACTGGTCTCCATCTGGACACTGTGCTTGTGTTAGCTGACTGTTACCCTCTGGATGGGATTGTCCAACCAGTTCCTCATTAGCTGTTTTTCAAAGAAGGTCTTTTTGTCTCACAGTCACCTACAGTGTAAATCCAGCTGGGTCAGCAGTTCTAGTGTCTTGTGTTTTTTTCCAGACTTTTGCAAAATAAGCATTGCAGGAATGAAATATTCTTCCACTACCCAGCATCTCACTCACTCATTTCCCCTCTGTCCCAGCTCCACGTACACATATGTGTGAGGAAGGGCTTTACTCACACACAAGGACTCTACTACTCTACTGCTACCAACGCAACAGATAAATTTGTTGCAAATCTCTGAAAGACTGGTATTCAGTTGGACAAACTTAGACAGAGACTGC